AATGACAAGACAAGAGCATGACAAAGGGTGTACAACAAGTAAGGTGACAAGGGCATTCTGACAAGGCGAAGATCTCGGGTTAAAGCATCGGCTTCGGCAAGAGGGTTTGAATGATCTCGGCTAAGGAGGATAACACATGGCCCAAATGTGCCACACCTTGGCCTAGATGTGCCACACCTCGGCCTAGGTTATACCGGTCCCAGAGCAAGATTTCTAGATGTAAGGATTAAGGATGTTGGATGCCTAGATGATAACATTTTGGCCCAGATGACTCACATCTCGGCCTAGGTGATGCACACCTCGGCCTTGATGATGACATCTCGGCCAATATGCCAGGGTGAAAGTGGAGGTCAACCAAAGTGGTTCCAAGATGGTCCTAGGTGTAAGAGGTTCAAAGGTGTGACCTAGGCTTAAGATGACCTCGGCTTAACACACACCAAGCAAGGAACAAAGTATGCAAGCAACACTTAGACAAAACAAATCAAGGTCTGTAAATGCAAGCTTAACAAGACAAAAATCATGTAAATGCATGTGAGCATGATTAAGACAAAGTGAGGGTTGTTACAGCTAACAACTCAAAACCCAAAGAATTTCAATTTCAATCGAAGAGAAATGAGTTAGGAAGAGAAACGTGATCTTGAAAGGGCCTTCAAAGTAGCTATTCAAAACTTAAGATTTGCGAGAGACTGAAGGTGGATTGAGATCGGCTTGAGAGTATCGATGGAGTTGGAGAAGAGGGAAGAGGCAAAAATAGAAAGAGATCGATCATGTGCTTTCAAGCATACCACAATAGGTGGCGCGCTGAGGGTTTCTTTACCAAGGGTGTCGATGCTGGTGAGGAAGGTGGAGAGTCGGGGTGAACTCAATTACTATTGTTGAAGAACCCATTCAAACCCTCAAGCTGAGAGAGAGAGAGAGAGAGAGAGAGAGAGAGAGAGTGTGTGTGTGTGTGTGTGTGTGTGTGTGTGTGTGTGTGTGAGGTTATGAACATAGACACAGACGCTTAGAGTGAGAGAGAATGGAGAATTGAATGGGTAGTTTGGTGATAAGGGCAGAAATGTGTCCTTATCAATAGAAAAGTTTAGCGCATGGACCTTTGAACCAAGGGAATTCAAATTTAGATTTATCTCCTGAGCGCCCTAAATTTTATCATTTAATTAATAATTAATTTTTAAAAAAATCATTGACAAGTAGTTTTTCCAAAATAAAATTACTCCCATATTGGGATAATAACATATCAGAGTTCTTTCTCTTTTTTTATTTTTATTTTTTATTTTTAACATCTAATTACAAATTTATGATAAAATTTATAGTTCTACTCTTTAACATGTATACAGTTTAGGGAAATTCTATTACATACACCTCCTAGCATATGCCTCTCTACGTTATGACATTTTCTTCTTTTAGTTATAACATTATTTTAGTTATGACTCATGAGATTTTTAATTATGTCTCATGCATTGTTTGGTTATGACTTCTTATTTTTTTGTATTTTAGTTATAACTCAAAAAGTATAAAATTATACCATTTTCTTCTTATAAGGTGTATACGGTATACACCCTTTGAGGAGTGTGTACCATAGTCTTTCTCGTAAGCTTATCATCAATCTATAAATATTTTTCAAAATATACCCTAAAATGAAATTGCTCCAATATTCATCTGAGTCATTGTACTATACTCACTTGTTTTTGGAATGTGTAGTTGTAATTCACTTCAATTGTAATTAAAATATATTTAATAGGTCATAACCAAACTTATAATCAAAACTCTATTGCATCAAAATTAAAATTAATATAATAAACATAATCACACATTACTTGAGATACAAACTACTTAAGGTATAACTAAAATAAAAAATCATAAGCTGTTATAACGAGCAATACAATATATCATAACCAGGTCACAACTAACATCATAATAAATTATAACTAAAAGACACAAATATCATAATTGAGAGATATAATATAACTGTTTATTTTATTTTTTATTTTTTTTTTATGATATATATCATAGAATTTCTCTATTCTTCCCATGCACATTTCAAAATTTGTTAGCCATAGGTAGAAGAACCTTTTTAAAAAGAAGATGCAAATCTTTTTTTAACTTTTTCTTTCATTTTATCGTTGCAATAGTAAGATGAGAATATTGAAAGAGAAGTTGTACAGTGTAACACTAAAATTTGAACTCATTTGATAAGGAATAATTTTATCTATTAGAATAACATCTTGATCTTTACAAGAAATTTTTTTTTTTGATTTTCCAATCGATAGAAGAGTAATTACATTATGAAAAATATTTACATTAATACATATCAAATAATACACGAGAATTAAAAAATCAACAAAAATCAATAATCTTGATCAAGCCACCAACCAAGTCAAGACCAACAACCACTAAGTACAACCTTTATAATGGGGTAGAAATAAATCAAACAATTAGAAAGGATATTAAACTCCTCTGTATAGGAGTTGAATCTGAAATCTCATATCACAAAAGGTGCTACACAATCATTAGACTAAATACCTGATTAATCTTTAGAAGATTTACATATACATAAATCATAATAAATCATAAATTCTTAAAGTGAGGGAGGGAGACCTAAATAAATACAAGAAAATTAAGAGCAAGGAACAATTGTAATAACAAGTTATACGAGCACTAGACAACAAATTAATCGTATTGGTTACAAAAATTTAATTCTTACATAAAAATGTGCCACCATGCAAGTTGATTAACAATAATTCAAAAAAATTTCTGTTCAATTCTAAAGAAATGATATCACATAATTGATGATAAAAACAAAAAACAAAAGGAGATTTATGACACAGAATAATGGGTACATGTGTGGGTGGGACTTTATTAAGAGATATGATTAATAATCAATTACGGACAAATTGGTATATAGGAGAAGTGGGTAGCACATGCACTAATTGGAAAGCATACCACCAAATTTAGATTCTTCCTTGAGAATAGTTTAGTCATTCGTATCGGAAAATTAATATTTTGGACTATCACGTGATCATATTTTTTTTTATTAATTATTATTTATTATATTTTTTAATCATCTAATACGAATAATTAATATTTTATATTTTTTTTTATCAATCACACTATTATAGAGCACCACATAATCATACTCCTAGATTACCAAATAATTATCCATTTGTATCGACATTTGGCCTAATCACATTCTTAAACATTGGCTAATCAATGGCAAAACATTCAAAAATCTCCACAAATAAACAAATATGAATTAAGAAAACAATTAATGTAAATTTAAACAAATCTTCTTTTGTATTCTGTATGATTTCTCTCGCATTTTTTCTTCACAAATCTCTTCTCAAATTTTTAGTATAAAATAAAAAATAAAAAAAATGCATGTATTACCTGAAGTTTGTAACCATTAAATTAGAATTCTATATACAGGGAAAGAAAAAATAGAAATGATTTTTTAAAATTTGCAAGCTAGGTGTTGTATTAGGTTGCTTTAGAATTTGACATACTAACAAAATGTATAAATTCAAGAATTATTGCAAGTTGGGGAATAATCCAACAATCTTCTCCCTTTGACTTAAGATTTGCTTAAATTCAACAGTATGATCTGTCATATTGTTACATTATTATACATTATACATTAAACTGCCTTGTTCGAAAATATATTATTTAAATAATTTTTAAATTTTTTATAAAAATATATGTAAAAAAATATATATATATATAATAATTTATAATAACATTTTAAGTTTTTAACTGAAATGTTTACTCCTAAAACGAAATCCTCTAAACTACAATGATTAATCATGTAGGTTGACTTCAAAGCCAAGTTTCTTAATAGTCTGAATTTCAATCTTTCCTTGATGAGACACAAAACCAAGGATTAGGCAAAGGATGAGATAGATGATGATTCTCATTCAACGAATTAGGCGTATAATTTAGTTGGCCATCATAATTCTCTTATGCTGTGTTTGGTTGGGGGATTTGGGGAGGGATTTGGAAAGGGAAAGGGAAAAGGTGTGTGAAACTATGTGAAATATAGGCATGATTTATTCACATTTCACCTACCCTTTCCATTTCCCTTTTCAAATCCCTCCCCAAATCCCCCAACCAAACACAGCATTAAGGATTTGGTCTCAAGAGAAAATTATGAGTTCAACTCTTTAGAGTTGAATTAGGAGCAACATTTTAGGATTGTTTTGAGAAGTAAGTTAAAAGTTAACTTTTTAACTTCTTTTTGAAAAAACCGTATAAAAAAGTAGAGAAAATAAGTTAAAAAGTCAAAAAATGACTTTTAACCCAATACCCAAAAGAGGCCTTAGTGATTTGTAACGGTGGAGAGGCTAAGTCCTATAGGTGCTAATTTAATAACTAACAGTTGACTTTCATCTTTATAAAAAATAAAAAATACACAAAACAAAAACAGAAGCACTCAAAAAAATCTGTAGATGATAATTTAACAATTAACAGCTAACTTTCGCCTTTATAAAAAATAAAAAATATACAAAACAGAACAGAAGCACTCAAAAAAATCTCACCTATTTGTTTGGCACAGGTGTCTGGCTATGTGAAATTGTTCTATGAACTATTTTTTTATTTTATTTTTTTTCAATTCCAAATTGTGTCTATTTGAGAAGGGGCACAATTTCCTTCAAAGTCAAATTGATGCCACTGCATTCAAACCATTACAATGAACAGTTAACTATTTTTTTTTGTTAATTTGTTGTTTTCATTTTTTATTAGGGAATACCTATAACTCCAATCTTTAATTCATTCACCCATGACTCCAAAGTCAATCTTGAAACTAGTGAGTTTCTTGGTGAGCCAATTCTCAAGTTTTTAGCAATAGATATCCAATATCTACTATGGTTCCATTTACTCAAGTCAGGAACACAAGAAACTAGCTGAAGACAACAGTTGACAAATTCCTTGATTGTTTCATCCATGTGCCCTACCTTTCTCTATCTGTGTGTGTATGAGAGTGAGAGAGAGAGAGAGAGAGAGAGTTACAAGCAATGATATATTGATTATAAGCTTCAATCAAATATAGCATAATAAATTATTCAATTATCCAATGAACAAGACTAAGCTCCCTCGAAAATGTATTAACAACTTATTTGAGTTTCAATTAACCTGTACAATTAGGGAATATAATACATGGGATTTGGGAGCTTGAATGAACGGATGGATGTTGAAGAACCCAACAGATCGCTCCATTGGTCCCCGGAGTTGCCCAAAATCCGATATCCCTCTTCCACCATCTCATTTCTCTTCTCTGACTTGTACATTGTGGCTAGCTTCCCATGGTCCTCAGAGGCTCTACACAGTTCAAGACAGTTAAAGATTTAGTCAAAGGCTCCAATACCGATAAAAGTTCAACAAAGCGGGCAATTCTAAAGCTAACCCATCTTGAATATAACAATAAAAATGTACACCATCTTTAGTTTGGATGCTTAATTGTTTATCAAAAGCTAAACACGTACATCCTTCATCATCTATTAAAGTTAAAAACAATCATATTAAATCAGACATTATCATTAATCTGGGACCCTAGAAGACAAAAAAGAAAAACTTAGACAAGATCATCTGGAAAATTAAATATGCCAATTGCATTTATCCTATTGAAGGGACATATTAGACACTCAAAGAATGGAAAAGTTAAGTTGTCATTAGGCATCCAATAAAAATGGACTAGCATTCTATTAAACTAATATAGACCATCTGATCAAAGTAACATTTGAGGTATATATTTCAGAATATAAGGTGCATTCTCTGACCAACTTAAATAAATAGTGCCATCAGGTTGTTGTGTGGCTATGTTCTGCTGCACCGAGGCTGTATGGTAGGTACTCTGTGGAATGTACCTAGCTCCTAGTATCAATCTTCTATGAAAAATTAGCATTAGATACAACAAGGTAGGGATGTAAAGGAATCAGGCATTAACAAGCTCTAGTTAAAGCAATTTGAATTGAAGAAGAACAAAAATCCAAGGAATATTTTTCATTTTTATTTCCAAACTTCCATGTTCCGAAAAAAGGATTTCTAGTAGCGGACATTAATACCACATACTAGCAAGAAAATGCCCTAAACACTACGGCTTGTCAAACATCATCCCAACTAGAAAGTCTTTTTCAGAAGTGGACACAAGAACAGGCCAAGGACCAACACTTGGTGCCATTGCTACCAGCTTTTCAGATGTCAATAAGGCACATAAATGAGAGAGGGCCAGCTCCAAAATTCAATAATGGGGATAAGCCTCTTGTCAATGAGCTAATTACTCATCTCATCCGCAAGATTTAGCACCACAAGATGGCCAGAGCTAAGCCAGTGTCCTCACAAATCAAGCCCCAGCATATTGTTGGACCACAATATACCTAATGCTCATTAATTATCGGTTATAAAGCATGCCCCTATCCTAAAACAGTGATATAGAGAAAAAGAAATGTGGACCACTACTCACCCAGCTACGATATGCTCAGCATAAGCCCAGAAGCCTAAATTTCAACTTAACAAGCCTTAATCTTATCATGCAGCAAAAAGTCTCAAACCAGAAAAGGAGGCTACTATCCTTAGAAATTAGGAAACTCTAATTTGCATATACGTGTCCACTGTATGTCTTGTGTGTGTATCTGTCTGACACATGTTGGACAGTTCTACGTGGGCTCCAGAGAGTGTATGTGCTCCATAGACCACTAGAATTTAATGGTCCTCCCAGTTTTGTGATATCTTCTTTTTTCTTTCATAAAATTGATCTTTTGTAGAGGATAAAATAAAGGTAATTTGACATTTCTTTGCAGAAAACAAGTCCCAAAGACGAGCTAGTTATGGGACCAAAAGGTTTAGGCAAAGACTGCGATTGGAAGTTGGCATCATCACTCAAAATTTGCAACAGTCCTTTGTTAGAAACACTAGCATCAGATCGAATTAGGCCAAGAAACCTATGTACAGGGAACATTATATGATGGGGAGACTTAAAAAATTCAGGAAACAGATTACCACAAAAAATAAATCCCCTTATGCAGGAAATCGGAAACCATATTGAAGTATAAGTGTTCTCTAAGGAAGACGCAACTAATGAAATGCAGGACACAAAACTTAGTCCTTTTAATGACCAAAAAAACTTGATAACATGGACAGGACAGCAACAAATAACAAAGAAAACTAAATCCTTTTGTATAGAAAAAATAGAAACCGAATAAAAGAGAAAATGTGTCTCCATTAGAGGCAATTGAATGAAAGAATGTAGACTTGCATACTTTTTCATGAAAGACGACTCTTTTTAAAGCAAAAAAAATTGCTATCAAGCCAAATCAAATGATCAATCATACATTGCATCAGTTTAACACGTACGTTATCTGAGTTACACTCAACAATCCCAAATTAATTTTAAAGGTATTTGATGGAGCATCAAATAAATGAAGGTGGCACTTCATCCTAGGACTTTTGCTTGGTATGCAAGATGATCTAGGTATCCTGGTGAAATGAGATATAGACAATATAAAATGGATCTCTAGGAGGTTGGTGATTAATTTCAAGTGCATAACAATCTTTGTTGTAGATTGAAACAATTAGGATGAGGAAAGCATACTTGAAGTAGCTGACATAAAAGAGAAGGAGAAGAAGAAGAAAAAAAAAAAAAAAAAGAGAAAAAGAAAAAAAAAGAGTACAGACTACATGGGCTGAGGGGGCTGCTGAGTTTTAAAGAACGAGCTGAAGTTTATAAACTGAAAATACAGGAAAGGGAATAATTGACAAAAGGAGCCATGCCCCTTGTAGAAAGAAGCAAACTAGACCAGGCTACATAGGCATCAGAGTGCTATCATAAATTTTAAGCAGTAAGTTCCAATTTGGCCAGTAATTCCATTTATGAGCAACGTCGGTCCTGAGTCAGACTACATTGGCATACGCAGGCTACATAGGCATCAGAGCTGTGGAGAAGTTGGCTCAAACCTCTTCTTCACCATGAAGAAAGAAGAAGAAAAGAGAAGCTTGGCTTCTCTTGTGAAGAAGGAACCAGAAGCTCCTGAATGATTGAGAAGCAAGTAGCAAACTTCAATTTGGATTGAAGCTCTGTGAAGGTCATCCATGGAAGCCATCTTGAAGCTTCCCGAATGTGGTGAATTGGCGTCACTGCTTGCGTATCTCACCCTAAAGGAACTCTATAAATAGAGAGGTAAGGAATTGTATTTTGATAGGCAAATATTGAATTGAAGAAGAAGAGAGTGGTGAGGAACCAAGAATGAAATTTGTATTTCTCCAAAATATATAAAATTTTTGCTGCCCGTGGCGTAGGCTATTGCCGAACCATGTAAAGGCTGTGTTTGGAGAAGCTTTCTAAAACTAATTCCACCCTTACATTCTAATACTATGTTTGGTTTAAGTTTTCAAATCATGATTCCAAATCAATTTCAAAACATATTTTGAAAACATGTTTGGTGAACCAAACAGTTTTTCAATTTTTGGTTTACCTGGTCGTCTGCTCAGACATCCTCCCCGGATGTCTGGCCGGTTGACCAGAATAGTACTCTCTCTCTCTCTTTCTTTCTTTTTTTTTGCAATAGCCAATAGCCAACCGCCACCTTTTATTTGGAAAAAAAAAATTATATTTGTTTTTTATATTTTTTAAATATAGAAATTATTTTTTTAGACCAAAATGACAAATTATTTTTTTGAATTGAATTTTAAAGAGTTTGGTTATGAGTTTTGAACAGAATTTTTAATAGAGTTTTGAGTTGTGTGTTTGGTTATGAGTTATAAGTTTTTCAATTAAGTTTTGAAAACTCTTTTCAAAACTCATAACCAAACAAGTTTTCTCATTTCATATGTCACATCAAAAACTCAAAACTCAATTCAAAACTCTTTTTAAAACTCATAACCAAACAAATTTGCTTTTTTCCAAACATAATTCCAAAACTCATAAACTCAAAATACAACTCTATTCTCAAATCATAATTCTAAAACTCTACCAAATACTACCTATGTTTCTCTCTTGTGTGTGTTTTTTTGCATCAATTTGTGGCTCCCCCTGACCCAATAAGTGGATATTAGAGCTTGGTTGGGCGAATTCTCAGTGAAACAGGGGCATTTTTCAGAACTGCCCAGATTTCGAAATTGTCGAAATCAACTTCTGAATGTACTAGGAGGTCCGTCTTGTCAAGATAAGTCCAACGGTGTAAAGAACAGGTCCAGAAGACCTATCATGCACCCTCACGCGCCTCGATAAGATTGGCGTGTGAGCCCACTCTCACTATGCGTTGCACGCATGTCTGAAGGAAGGAGGAGCGTGAGCTCAGTTTCACGCATATGCCCCACGTGCACTGACCAAGAGCCACGTGTGCCAGAAGTCGACACGTATCGGATGTGTTGGTTGCTACGTCATCCGTGACGTCACTGAAGGACGATGATGTTAGCGCCACGTATGTCCCACGTTAGTGCCACGTTAGCCTGCTACGTCACCATCAACAATCCGGTCAACTGTCACATCAGTTGCCACATCAACAGGTTTGACCGCCACGTAATCAGCCCAATCAGAAACAAAATATTCCCTCTGTGACGAAATATTCTGATGGAATATTCTTCTTTGTGACGAAATATTCTTTGAAAGGTTTTGGTCAATTTTGGGAGCACTTGTAGGCCAATTTTTGACGTAAAGAGAGTAGCCCCAAGCTAAATTGACTGTTCCGGACGCAACCGCGCTATCCACTTCTTCAGATTCAGATTCAAATTTCTCGAGGTTATCAAGGGTGTTCGTAGCCATTTCTGAAGAAGGGCTCTTTGGTGGTTTCAGAATTTTGAAGAAGAATGGCTGAAGAAATAACTTCATCAAGTAACCAAGGAAGAAGGAGTTCAATCTCCAATGCCAAGTTTGAGGTTGAAAAGTTTGATGAAAGAAACAACTTCGGCGTGTGGCAATGCGAAGTCTTAGATATGCTCATCCAACACGAATTGAATATCACTTTGGAGGACAAACCTGCAGAAATGTCCGACAAAGATTGGATCAAGATCAACTGGCTAGCCTGTAGTACCGTCTGGTTATGTCTTACAAAAGATCAGAAGTATTCTGTCATAAAGGAGATGAATGCCAAAGATCTCTGGAAGAAGTTGAAGGATAAGCACATGGCAAAAAGTATAGAGAATCGGTTATACTTGAAGAAGAAGCTTTTCCGATTTCAGTATGAAGAAGGAAGTTCGATGTCCGAACATTTGAATGACTTTAACAAGATTCTTGTTGATCTACTCAATCTGAATGTTGAAGTTAAAGATAAAGACAAGGCTTTATTGCTGCTGAATTCCTTAACAGATGAATATGAGCACTTGATCACCACACTGCTCTATGGGAAGAAACAAATCTAGTTTGAAGATGTGTCTAACACATTGGTTAACAATAAGTACTGAAAGAAGGATAAGAGGCCCATTATCAAGACACATCAGGTGGAGCATTAGTTGTACAAGGAAGATTGGAGAAGAAGAAGCATTCTAGGAGGGGATCATACAGAAGCAGCAAAAACAAATTCTGTTTCATGTCTAAGGAACTGTCAACCAGAAGAATACCCACTATAGATGAATGTGCCCTTTGTCGAAAGAAAGGACATTGAAAAGCTGATGGTTAATGACAAAGAGACATCTATAGTTAGTCTTGCTTATTGTGTTTGTATTGCTCCATCATTTCCGTGCCATTCTGATGAATGGATTATGGATTCTGGATGTACTTTCCACATGTGTCCTAATCAGGACTGGTTTTCTAACTTTGAGAAGTTAGATAGTGGAACAGTTCTTATGGGTAACAACGCAGCCTATGAGACAATGAGAATAGAAAGCATCCAACCGAAGTTGCATGATGGAACAGTTCGAGCTCTGAAAGAAGTACGATATGTACTAGAATTGAAGAAGAATCTCATCTCGCTGGGCGCTTTAGCATCCAAAGGTTTTAAGATTACCTTGGAAGGTGGAGATCTCGTAGTAGTATTGGGAACTCAGGTCATGATGAAAGGAAACAAGAAGAAGGATTTGTACTTCTTGCAATTAAGTAAAGTTGTAGGTGGAGTAGCCACCAATAGTAGAAAGAATTAAGAAGTTGACAAAGTTGACATAGATTGCACGAAGACTAAAGTCAAGTTCGAGACAGAAGAACAATGTATGGAAGAAAAGATGGAATATGTGCATACCAATATATAGGGGCCTTCTAGAGTTGCATCGAAAGAAGGTAAGCATTGTTTTGTTACATCTATTGAAGAATATTTTCATCGTGTTTGGGTGTACACTATGAAGACTAAGAATGAAGTTGTGAACATCTTCACAACATGAAAGAAGATGGTGGAAAATTAGATTGGCAAAAAATTGAAGACCTTAAGATCAGAAAATGGTGGAGAGAATATTACTGATCTGTTGAAGGAACTCTATCAGAAAAAAGGTAGAGTACATCGCATCATTGACAGACAAACTCCACAACAGAATGGAATGGCAGAATGGATGAATAGTAGTCCATTGGAAAAGGTGCGTTATATGCTTGCTCAATCTGATTTAGGTAAGCAATTTTGGGCTAAAGCTATGACATATGCCCGCTGCCTTATCAATAGTCTGCCGACTATTGCAAATGAAGGAAGAACATTTTTGGAGGTATGGTTCAGTACTCATGCAAACGATTATGTCAATTGCATGTATTTGGTAGTTCGGCTTACTATGATGTGCAGAGAAGTAAGCTTGATCCTAGAGCCAAGAAAGGAGTATTCTTGGGCTTTAGTCGTAAAGTAAAAAGGCACAGGCTTTGGTGCCCTGAATCGAAGAAGGTCAAAGTTAGCTGAGATGTCACATTTAATGAGTCTGAAATGCTTAAGCAACTCAAGCTTGAAGACTCTAGTGGACAGAACAAAGCCATTGGAATGTAACAAGTGGAGTTTGATGCACCAGTAGACTCAGAAGAATGAATTAAAGAAGGTGCAATTGAAGAAGAACTAGTCACAGTAATATCAGAGCAATCAGAGTCTATTGCTACGAAGAAGTCGAAAAGAGAGACCAAAAAACCGGCAAGATACACGAATATCATATCTTATGCATTTCTAGCAGTTGAGAATGATATCTCAACAACTGAAGCAGCCAAGAAGAATCCCTAGCAAGAAAGGCTAGCTAAAGAAGAAGTACAAAATATGCACAAGAACAAGACTTGGGATTTGGTACGACTACCAAACAAAAAAAAGGAAATCGGCTGCAAATGGAAATTCACTAAGAAGAATGGTGGTTTGAATGAATAAATTTTCTTATCTCAACTTGGAAGGTTTCGAGTAGCTGGAAAGGAAAATTTCATTTAGAAGAAGAAATCACTTAATAGAATGAAACAATCACCACGACAGTGGTATGATTGGTTTGATCATTTTACGGTTGCACAAAAGAAGACTCTTGGGATGAAGAATCTCCAAGAGAAGGTTAGGGTCAGAAGCATAGTGCATCTCTCATAGCAGAAGAAAACTAGTAGAAGAATAATAGAATTGGGGTTAAGTTCAAATAGAGTTTGGACTTAATCCATTTGGAGCACATGTAAGCACCTTCAGGTGCATGACAGTGTTGATTGCTCACTATATAGTTTGGATGGAGATTTTTTCGCCAAGGTGGAGAATTGTAGAGAAGTTGGCTCAAACCTCTGCTTTCACCATGAAGAAAGAAGAAGAAATGAGAAGCTTGGCTTTTCTTGTGAAGAAGGAACTAAAAGCTCCTGAATGATCCAAAAGCAAGTAGCAAACTTCAATTTGGATTGAAGCTCTGTGAAGGTCATCCGTGGAAGCCATCTTGAAGCTTCTCGAATGTGGTGAATTTGGCATCACCACTTGCGTATCTCACCCTAAAGGGTCTCTATAAATAGAGAGGTAAGGAATTGTATTTTCATAGGCAAATATTGAATTGAAGAAGAAGAGAATGGTGAGGAACCAAGAGTGAAATTTGTATCCGTAGACATAGGCTATTGCCGAACCACGTAAACTCTGTATTTCTCTCTTGTGTGTGTTTGTTTGCATCAATCTGTGGCTCCCCCTGACGCAACAAGAGTGCCATTGCAAATTCTAAGAAATAAGCTCCATTTCTAGCCAGTGACTCCATTTTATCCAGTGAATTTATTTATGAAACCTCTATTTCATTAGAAATCGGTTTTTTCCCATTGTTTTATTTAGGCAGTGGTGTGTCAGATGCTTATCTTTTACCAATACCTTCCGATTGCATGTTCACCGAGATTACACAGTTCTCAATTTGATTTTAGTGTTAATGTAAAATAGCCCATCTATACCTCAATTGTATGAAATATCAATGTGCTAATCATGGTTATGATTCTCCCTAGCTTAAAAGAAAGGTTAAATTCATAAGGAACAAGTAGAAAGGTGAATATGTGAACTGATCACATCAGACGAGCATAGTTAACCTAGAACTTCATATCCTAACATAAGGATGAGAAATAATTGGAAACTTTAAATCCCCAGATTTGGAGAATGGAAGCCTACTTTCAACCTAGGACATAGAGGAACAATGAAATTTGGGGATGCTTCACAATTTTTTAAGTTTCTATACCATGTAATTTCACAATTCAATCATTGTTCTACTGATTCTTGATGTAAACTAAAATCCTAGTCAACAAGATGGATAATAAGTTTATTCATTTGAATAATTCTCTAAGTAGACAAATCCAATTTTAAAAGTCAAAGATATACGGCATCAAAACATAATTAATTCATCAAAGCACATCTGCAATGTGATTTTTTGCATTCAAAATAAGATTTCTGACTGTAATGATTGATATTTGACATGTTCTGCTTAATACCCCTGAAGTCTGAGGTCAAAATGTTAGCCTTTAGTAACACTTCAAAGGTTGAAAGTATGTGCAAAGCTAATAATAAAACTCTAATTAATTTTCAATCAAAATAGAAGGCATTATATCAAACAAGTTTGTCCTATAAAAATCATACATATAACAAGCCCATATGCCCTATAGGGCAGAACAGTTTGAATACTAACCTCAATATGAGCTTGTCCCAATCCTGAAAACCTGCATTGATCAAATTCTCAACTGTAACACCTCTTTGAATTTCGCTTCGCCCTGTTAGCAAGAAAACCTTGAATCCCAACTTCAAAACCTCTTCATAAAGCTTCAAACTTGACTCAATTGGAGGTGCCATAGCCTTCCCAACCCACTTATCAAACTCCATGCTGTCAAAAATCTCTAACCTACATATCAGAAATCAATGAATTACTCAAAACTACCCATCTTCCATGATCAAAATCAAATTCCATCAAAACCCATTAGGCCACATCAAGTATAAAAGTTGTCATTTATCAATTTAAGAACAGACAGTCCAATTGAATCGAAAAATTGGCAGAGTTTGAAGAAACTTACCCATAACCATGCTCAGAATAGTATGGAAGATTCGAAAGCAGAGTCTCGTCAATGTCAAATACCCAAACATCATTCCCATCTTCACTGGGAATGAGAATATGCTTTTCTTGTTGTGGATACGAAAACCAAATGAATAGTATACTCGTCTGATGAAGAGGGAGAAGAAGAGTGGCGTGTGCGTGAAGCAATTAGCAAAGCGAAGCAAATGAGGATTGTAACGGACCAACTGAATTTAAGAGCAAAAACCGAATGTAGACAATTTTGAGGCAAAACAACTTTAAATGTGATTTTTTTAATATATTTGTAAATTTATTTGAGATAAAAATTTACTAATTATGTATTATAATTGAGAAATTTTATGGGCGTGTATCATGTGTGCTGGACGGAACTAGAAGATTCGAGTTTTGAGGAGCAAAAACACATGTAACTTTTTAATCAAAAAAAAGAAAAAGAAAAAGAAATTTGAGGTATTTACGTATAAATATTAATTTATGAACTTATACTCTTTTAAGTTCTAATTAAGATTTTTTAGACTTTTAAATCTTATTAAATTTTTAATAGTCGGAATTGCGTTTTAAACAATGATTGTTTATCATCTATGATTATTTATAAAGAAACATGATGATTTGACATTTATTTTGATTTTCATACCTTTAAAACATCAACTTTCAAATTGAAAAAAACTAAAAAAAAATATTATTGAAGACATTGAAAAAAACTAAATTATTTTTTTGTGCAAAACTGAAAATTTTGTGTCTATAAAGCAACATGGTGATGGAACATTAATATGCAAAACTGGCAAAAAAACTTTAAAAATGAAAAAACTGATAATGTTCTCAGTTTTAGAACTGAAAAAAACTGTTAATGTTTTCGGTTTGATTGGATAGTTGAATCAAACCAATAAGCAGAAGGGCAAAAACGTCTAATCTCATGCTATTTTTTTTTTAGCAGTTAGTGAAACAATTATCTTAAACATTATTATGTAAAATTGATAATACTCATAATTTTAAAAATTAAAAAAAATTGATAATATTTTTAGTTTTACCAAATAGGACTTATTAGTTCAAAAAATCTTAAATAAGACCTAAACTGCCATAACATTTGTATATAGGACTTTTAGTTAATTAACTCAAAAAATTATAGGCAAATTTCATTTTACTCCTTATGGTTTGAGTCATGTGTGGTTTACCCCTCTAATATTTGGAAATGACCAAATAACTTTCATATGATTTGTTAGTGCACTGTTAAACATTCTATCCAACTTAATAGCAAGTGTGAAACACGTGACAGGCATAAGGGGCTCATTTTTAAATCTCACAGGAGTAAATAGCATATGGAATAAAGCACATGGATTTAAAGTTCATTTTGTCTTCTAAACAAATGACGAAAATATTCATAATTCATACACTTAACTTATTTATATATAGGGGTATTTTAGTCTTTTTTTAAATCTTTAACAAATCTAACAGTGCACTTTAGTCTATAAACCATAAGAGGGTTATGTTCCAAATGTTAGGGGATAAAACGTACATGACCCAAATCATATGGGGTAAAGTGAAGTTTGCCCAAAAACTATTATAAAACTTGATTTATACTAGCACAAAAAAATGAATAATATTACTATTAATAGTGTATTCTTTGTCAACATAATTGACAACAAAAATATAATTAGACATATTTCTTTTCTTTACATTAACTTAACAAAAATATTACTAACTATTATTATAGACATATTTCTTGTCTGCCTTACCTTAACAAAAATATTGCTAACTATTATTATGTACTGGTCTACTACAGTTAAATATTTAAAAATGTTGTAATTGACACTTTTATAATATATATATATAAACATTTATAATAGATTCGACATTAAAATCTTATGTAATATATTTCTCAATAAATATGATCAAATAATTTGCTAAAAAATCATTTTCCTTCTTATTATGCATAGTTTTGAAAAATTTTATAATTGAAAATGTACATTTTTATGAGTATAATAATAATAATCCATTTCAATAAGTGGTATTAAACTTTATGAACTTATTTTTAAGAAATTCATGTTGAAATAGACAATATTTTTATTTCTAGACAATATTACTATTTTTAGAAAATTAATAAGCAATAATGAATGCAAAATAAGATGTATAAGAAAATTAAAGTGTGATTTAAAAAAAAAAATGACATATGAACAAAAGACAAAAATATAAGTAACTTTAAATAATACAGAAATATAACGAATAATACATATGACAAATATAATAGATCAACATTTGATAAAACTCGATTTAGACACTATTTTTAAAATTTTTTAATATAAATAATTTGAAGTGTGCAAACTACTAAAATTTTGGGATGCGATGCACTCCAATTTGAAATTATCTTATTAATTATGAGTGTAATATGCATTGTTTTTAAAAATTTTGGTTATGACCTTTGTAATATTTTCTTACGACCAGTGATAGTGTTAGCTATGACTTATTATGATTTTGATTATAATATTATTTTAGTTATAATTCAAGAAATCTTTCCTCATATGTGTGGTTATAATTTTTTTCTTTTTTAGTCTTGACTTCTATAAGATTAAATTATGACATTTGTAGGAATCAAACTTAAAAATGTCATACCTTGCAGTGTATACATAGCATTACCATTATAGGTTTGCCAACATATCTTTTTCGATATATGTTGTCTAATTTTAATATTTCTTGTGAATTAGTTAATCTTAGGTAGGATTTTATTATTTTTAATTTTTATTTATTTATTTTTGGCACAAGCAACGGGTCTTGTGAATAACGTTATACAAACAATGAACAGAATTTATTTATTTATTTTGTCTTTTTTATATAATTTAGTACATTAATTGAAGTGTTTTGTTATATTTTAAAATTTTAAAATAAAATTAAACCATCAATATGAAGAAAACATTCAAGATTAGAATAACATAGAGAATTTTATTTATAAAAGTATAAATATTTATATTTTTCTAAAAGCTAGTTCAATTTTTTATTTTTTCTCCAGTTAGGAGTAATTATCAGAGAAAGAGGGAGAGAAGAGAGAGTGTGAGACTGAAAAGTAAGGAAAGATGAGGGTGTTAGGGTCTATATATAGTGTAAGGGAAAAGTATAGTGGATTTTGGACCCACAAATCCGGCCAAAATGGTGACTTTTATGCGTAGAAATTGAATAGACCGTTTGAGCAAATAAACTTGTGCTTGTGCGGTGAATGAAATTCAAACTAATCACTTGAGTGAATAATTCTATGTTCGAACGAAGAATAAAGATTTATAGTGTCTCAAACTTTTGCAGAGCAAACCGTTCGAGCGAACAATCCAATGAAACAAACGTAATTAACTCTCAATTAAACTCATATTAATATCATAATTATTTTGATATAAAATCTCATAATTATATAATAATATCATAAGCCTCGTAGCCACAAAATAATAAAAGCTAGATGCTTTGTTTTACCATAAGGTGTACATTTAGCAATTTTTTGTAAGCAAAAAAAGAAAAAAAAGAAATTTTATTGAGTAATAACATTGGTGTTGGTGATGGGAGGTGCCAAAGGCAGTGATGGTAGTGGAGCGGGTATGGGAAATGTGGGAAAGAAGTTGTATTTATTTATCTTCTAGACTATTACATATGTGAATATTTTAGATGGGGTTAACAATTTATATTTTGAGTTTTTTCAAAATGTCACTATAGGTGGTGTTAGGGGTGTTTATGGATTCGATCGATTTGTCAAAACCGACCGGTTCAGTCCAATCCACCTGCTTTTAAGTGGTGTTGATAGTATGGACGAACAGATGCTTAAATCTACCAATATTTTGACATATGGTGGATGAGAGGTTACTCAATCTAACCCAATCCACTAACCCCTTTAAGAAAATAATGTTATGTTTTTATGCTTTGTATATTAAAAAATATGTATTTTATTCAGTAATAATACTAATTACTTATGAAATATAATAGTTTGACCTCTATTTTAAGGGCTAATTACACATTGGTAATGATATAAGGACTTGTATTTCATAGTCACACAACTTTTTGTGTAGATTCAAAAGTCGTAAGGGTCCTTTGTTCTTTTTATTTTATTATTTTTTCCCCCTTTCTGATACGTACTTACTGGCGACCGGCGACCACCAATGATTAGGGTTCATCGGCGACCACCAATGATTAGGGTTCACCGGCAATCACTGACCATCGACTTCTTGCTTCGCCCTTACTGACTATGAAGGAGATGAATTTCTAATGATGTTCTAATCTGATATGGTCAAGATCACAAGACAAGACTCACCGAAATGCTTAGATTTAGAGCAGATCTGAGTAGGTCTACATCAGATCCGGTCAGAAAAATGATTGTCGGAGTATAATCATCTCTCTATGTCTGTCTCTCTCCTTCGATCTCTTAGTTTTTTTTTTCTCTTCTGATAAATCTAGAAATCCCTTAGATATTGATTTATGATTATGTATCAATTTTAATGAGTAAATAGCAATCCTAATCAAACAATCAAAGATAAATCAACACAACGATTTAACGTGGAAAAATCACAATTGGAGCGCCTCCAATTGTGATAAAAAATCACGGGCAAAAGCCATAAAACAATCTTCTAAGAAGACATAAAAGAATTATACAAGTGTACTCTCAATTAGCTAGCGACTCCACGCCCGAATCGAACCGACCCCTATGTGCCTCTTCTAGCTTTGTTTTCACCTCGGGATTGTCTTGCCCAATGTTGAATCCATAACGCCGATGTCGAATTACGACGATGAGCCACTCCGAAATCCACAAAAGCTTCAGGCCCGAATTCTACGGAATCTACCAAAGAACAACACTCTCTTTTGTATTGAACGAAACAAATAACCCTTTGATGTATACTTTTCAAACTAGATTTAAACTCAAACAAACATAAAAGAAATTAGCAAAGAAGATCCAGTTATAAATCTTAATATCCAAGAAGAAGATCTGGAAGTCGTAACCCTAAAAACGAATGAAACCACATATTTATAGTAAACAGATCCACGATCTCCGCTCGAGCGCAAGAATGGCCACTCAAGTGGATCTACGCTCGAGTGCAAGAATGACCGTTTGAGTGCAAAAACACAACTTCTAGTACTTTTGCAGACAGTTCAAATTTCTGGAACCAAAGATTCTCTACTCGAGCGCACAAACGGTCGCTCGAGCGGACAAGCAACTTCGAATGCATAGTTAGCGAAGTGGCAAACATGAAAGAATTAAGACTACAAACTCCTTTTCATAGGCACAATTCGGGTTGGATTCACATCTAAAACTCATAGCCTCACTAAAATAAAAATTCGAATGCAATTATAACTAAAAGGAGTTTTGTTAAATAAGATTGCCAAGAATAAAAACCTAACATTCTCTACTACAAAATTCTTTTTTTCTGTTTTAATGAAGAGAATTTTCAAATTCTAAACAAATATTTTTCGAGTTTTAGTTATAAGCGGTGAAAACTAAAAATTTGTTCCGTTCCAATTTTCAAGTGCTAAAATGAATCATGCTTTAAAGTTGCAAAATCTGTGTAGTTTCATGACATGCTTTAAAACTGTAAAATTTTGTAATTTCATAACATGCTTTTACTGCAAAATTTTGCAGTTTCATAATATGTTTTTCGGTTTGATTAATAAGGAGGAATACTTAATGAAATCATGCTTTGAAATTGTAAAAATTTTATATTTTCAAAGCATGATTTTCAGTTTGATCAATATAGGAGATTATTTGCTTAAATCCTATAAAATTGAAAAATAACTTATGTTTTTCCCCCATTGTTGTTGCTTATTGTTGTTACTTTTTATTTTTATTTTCCAGTTTGTCAAAATTAGCAAAATTTGCTATGTTTTTTGGCTAATTTCTCCATTTATTTATTTATTTTTTCCGACAATGTTCTGGATATTTTGGTGAGTCTCCGGCAATGTTGTTGACATCCAACGATGTTATGGACATTTCGGCGATACTCCGGCAATACTCTGGTGACTTTATGGCAATTGAACATTTCGATGAGCCTCTGGTGACTGTCTGATGGAAGTCTGGTAGAGGTCCAATGGTGGTAAAATGTGCAGCATCCTTAAATTTTATTTTTACAAAAAAAGATTTTTTTGGTAACAATTAAAAATATGTAGGACTAATTGTTGCAAGTGATTTGTTTTGGGATTAGATGGATTTTAAACTCGACAAAGAGGATTTGCGGGTTAGTGCCCCTTATTTTAATTATAAAAAAAAATGAAGAATTAAATTTTGGACTCAAATAAGGACCAAAAATAGTAAAAAATTACTCTAAAATAGCTTTTTTAAAAAATAAAAAAGGAAAGTCCAAACCGTTAAATTGATTTGCATCTACCTACCAATGCATATTCGCTGAACAAATATGAATTGATTTTTTCTAATCCGCTTAAGTTAAAACGGATGGAAGATGGAAGGCCACCCAACCAATCATTGAGCACCCTTAGTTGGTGTTTATGTAAAAATTATATTAAGAGAGGGATGAAACTTGAAACTATGATCATTAGTTTAGTAAAGGAAGTATCTACCACTTGAGCAACACATACATCTGTGCATTTTTTTCCCCTCTGTTTTCAATAGCTTTATTTTTAGGGTTTTATAGTCCTTTAAAAATAATAATAATAATGAAACTTTATGGGAAAAAGAATATAAAATAATTCACTTAATTTGATACGGGTCTTGCTTTTTTTTTTATGTCGTATTTGGTAAATGTGACATTTTTTGTAGTGACTTCTCCTTTTTAATTAGTAGTTTTTTAACTTCAATAAATTATAGGAAAACTCTTAGGTGGGTATTGCATACCATATGCATGCACTATTATTTAAGTTCGTGAAGTGATTTTGTGAATTTCATAACTTTTATAAAGAAACTTACGTAAATTTGTGTGCAACTTAAGTATTTTTGTAAGATCACTTATGTAATTTGTGAAAACTTACGTAATTTTGTAAATTGTGCATATGGTGTGCAAGGTTGCACCCCAAACACTTCCTCATTATATATGTGAAGCAATTATTGAGCATCCTACGTTAGATTTATTTATTTTTTTTTATTTTTAAATTTTAGTTTTTAATGATTTATATAGTGGGTTTATTATATTTATTACTCCCTCTTATCCGCACTCACCATCCTCAATTAATATTTTTCATAGGGAATTGGTTGTCTCCCGTCATTAATTAATGACTAGATAGCACTGTTTGAGTCCATGAGACTCTCCACGGGTCCAATCCACTTGAATCCAAATATGAACTGGAGACCAATCTACCAAAAACCAAATAAACTAAGATTACAAGAGCACAAATCTTTCCTATAAAACCCAAAATCCACCATTGAATTTATGTGATCTTAGACAACACAATCATGCATTTCAAAGAAAGAAAAAGATTTTAGTAGCTCCTGGCGGCAATTGTGACACAGTTTCTGACAACGATGACCTCTTAGCCAAGATCCTTCTCCGTTTATCTTTAAAATCTCTCGTCTGCTAAATTGTGCATATGGTGTGCAAGGTTGCATACCCAAACAGTTCTCATTATATATGTTGTGAAGTAGTTATTGAGTATCCTATGTTAGATTTTTTGTTTTTATTTTTTAATTTTAGTTTTAAATGATTTATATAGTGGATCATTATATTTATTACTCCCTCTTATCTGCACTCCCTATCCTCAATTAATAATTTTTCATAGGGATTGGATTGGCTGTCATCATTAATTAATGACTCGATAGCACTGGTCGGGTTTGTGGGACTTTCCACGGGTCCAATCCACTTGTAAACTAATCTACCCAAATCCAAATAAACTAAGATTACAAAAGTACAAATCTTTCCTATAAACCCAAAATCCACCATTGAATTTCTATGATCTTAGACAAACATTATGCATTCTGAAGAAAGAAAAAGATTTTCAGTAGCTCTTGGTAGCAGTGCTGACACAGTTTCCGACAACAATGACCTCTTAGCCAATATCCTTCTCCGTTTACCTCTAAAATCTCTCGTCCAGTTTGAATCCATATCCAAACACTGGCTTGAAGCACATATGGAAGATCGCTACAATAAATTAAGGCTTTAAAGATAAAAACATAGAGGCAAATTCACCTTTTAGGAGCAAATTTTTTGTTACTAAAAGTGTCATTATAATATTTTTAGTGACAAAATTAGATATTTAATAATGAAAAACTATCCTTTTGAGACCAAAATTTTTAACTACAAAAATAAACCTTTGCGGGGCTAAATTACTTTTTCATGCATTTATTAATGACGTTTTTAAAATTTTATCGCTAAAAACAATTTTTTGATTTTTTGAGACGACCTTTTAGCGACTATCTTCGCAACAATTGGATTTGTCCCTAAATATTTTTTGCAAGGAAATTTTCACTAAAATTCTTATTTGTTATAGTGACGAATTGTTTGAACTAGAATTAATTTAGAAGTTTAGGATTCAAATTAGAAAAATAAAAAATTTAGTATTTGATTTAGGGTCAAACAATGATTTATTATTATTATTATTTTTTTTTTTTACAAATTTTTTTGTTTGTTTGTCTATCATCACTCTTAACTGATAGCCACAAAAAGGTGTTTATTAGGAAAAATTATTAGACATTTCCAAAGTACTCGCAGTATTGTTTACATAGAACTACCAGCTAATGTTTACATATTACTACCCATTAATGAGAAATTTTAGTCCACATTAAGTGAGTCTTCTTTTGTACTCAATAAAAGCGAGATAACATGATTTATCGGCAAAACTTATGGCTACATGATTAGTTTAGAATACATGTACATGTACCAGTGCCATTGTATTTTGAGACTTCTAAATATTTATAGGCAAGGATACGCACGCTGCTAATGAGCCAACTTCTAAGAAGTATGGATACGGACACGACACGGATAAGTGGACACGTAAATTTTCAAAAAAATGTAAGATACGACACGTTGGGAACATGTGCAAAAACATATAATTTTATATATTTATTATATGTCATATTTTAAATATTTAATATGTATTTTATATCAAATATTTAATTGTATCAAATTTATCAACCTTATGTAAGCTATTTTAGTAAAAAAAAATAAAAAAAATTAATTTTTATTGAAAAAAATAGTTCCCAGCATGTCCTTGTGTCCATAGCGTGTCCAATACGTGTCTAGAGCATGTCCGGCACGTGTTCATGTCCGGCATGTGTTGGACTCATGCGTGACTTCTGGAGAGGTGTTAGTATGCCAACTCCTTCTATTTGGGAAAATAAATATTCAATAATAACACCAGCTAGACACATCATTTTTCCTTAAACTGTTCGTTTAGTTGTGTCCTAAATGTTTAAAAATAAAATAAAATAAAATAAAATAATAATAATAATAATAAAGCAAATGAAATGTATTACCAATTACAGTGCACATCTCACTGTCTGAAACTGATATTATACAAAATTTATTTGGTGTGCATTAGGTATGGTATGAAAATGTCATGTGGTATATTATAAATTAATCACTAAATGTCATATCTTTCTCTTATTTGGTCACCATAAATATAATAAACTCACCATTGAAACCAATCAAAATTGAGAAAGTTCTTTTTTTATCAACTAAAAAAAGTCTTTATTAATGACATTGAAATGAAATACAATAATTAAAGGAAAGGATATGTAAAAATGCATCAAAGGTAATCCAACTTAAACACAAAAAAAAAAAAAAAATAAAAAAAACAAACCCCACATATAGCAACATATGTAATTGTTATGACAATTACTTGTGCTATGACCGTCACAAACAGTAACAACAGGAATGATGTAAAACAAGACGGAAAGAAATTTCATGAGAATCAATCAAACAGAGGAGATACTCTGAATGTATGGAAATGTATGAAACCATCCAAACCTGAATGGACGGTCATTCCTGGTGTACTCACTTCCCAACATCCTACGACTCCATTTAAATATTTTCTCATATGTTTTCTCCTCCAAATTGTAACGTATAACCTTATTTTCTATGTGTAGCACCAAGAATGACTTGTCGTCATCATCATTATTCTCTATTCGAACTATAGAGAACGAACACTTACCATTCTCTCTAATCTCCGGAAATGCGTGACTAACTTGATCTAGATCAACATGGTACTTCACAAACCACCCAGAGTAGTCTTTCTCTATCTCGTATATTTTGAACGCCACAATGTGGGGGACCTCGAATTGAACTAGATTCAAATGGTTTTCTGACTCTCCGAAATACCTAATCTTCCTATGATAATCATCATCATCATCGGCTGCATCTTGAACCGGAGGCATCGGCATTGTAGCGAGAACTTCTTGATCGACATTGAAATACAATGCATTCCCATTAACACTAACCCAATTGATCGCACCATTCCAGAACACTCCTCGAGAGAAAAGTACTATGCTTAAGCGCCTTACTGCAAAAGGCTCGCCAGAGAGCTTCCAAGTGGAGGTCTTGGAGGAGTAAATCTCGATCTGACAAAAAATCGATTCATAGTTTGCCAACAATCGACAGTCTCGAACCAAAATAACTTTGTAGTGAGGTGATTTCATTGGATCAAAAGCCAAGTTGACTCCCAAACAACAATTAACCTTGCTGATGTTGTCTTGGACTAGTGTTTTGAATTGCTTGGTTGTAGGATTGACAACATAGAGATTTTTAAGCTTGGAATCACAACAACACAACAAACCTTTGCATGACTGTAGAAGGTAGACATTAGGGTTTTCCTGAAAAAAGGGAAGGCTTGTGGTTGGCTTGATATCTGGGTTTTTGATGTTGTCGAGAGGGACATAACAGACTTTTGGAACGGAGGGTGAAGGATTGTCATCGTCATAGAAGAGACGGGAAGATCAGTGGAAGAACATACCAGAAGGCAGATTAGGGTTAGGGTTTAGGCGGCGAGTGAAGAAAGGGGAGGAAATGAGAGAGAGCCAATGTTTGGATATGGATTTAGATCGAACGAGTGATTTTAGAGGCAAACGGAGAAGGATCTCGGCTAAGAGGTCATCATTGTTGGAAACTGTGGCAGCGCCGCCACTAGGAGTTGTAGCACCGCTGCCAGGAGTTGCTAAGATTCTTTTTCTTTCTTCGGAATACATGATTGTGCTGTTTGAGGCCACAAAAATTCAATGGTAGATTTGAGTTTTATAGGAAAGATGTGTAATCTTGGTCTGGATTTGGTTGATTGGCCTCCGATTCACCACAGAAACTCAATGGTAGATTTTAAGTTTTATTGGAAAGATTTGTTATCTTGGTCTGGATTTGGTTAATTGGATTTTGAGTTTTGTAGGAAAGATTTGTAATCTTGGTTGGATTTGGTTGATTGGTCTCCGGTTCATGTCTGAATTGGACCGTCTGAACATCTATTAGTCTCCGGTTCACATCTATTTTTCATAGATTGCTCTTCGGTTCACGTCTATTTTTGATAAATTGGTCTTCGATTCACATCTATATTGGACCGTTCGACTATCATAACAGACGTGAACTGTGGTATTCACAAGTATGATATTAAAAAGCGGCCGATTTGTAACGGCCATGGGAAATTTGACTACCCTAGTCAAAATTTGACTACCCCAGTCATCTACACCTCAGTTTAAGTTTAACAATGTCAAGGGAAAATCACTAAATTGGAACGGCCATGGCAAATTTGACTACCCTAGTCAGCTACACCTAGGTTTAACGATGTAAGGGATGTAAAGGGACACCTCAGTTTAACGATGTAAGGGATGTTTAACGATGTGAAGGATGTAAAGGGAAACTCACTAAATCGGAACGGCCAGGTACATTTGACTACCCTAGTCGGCTAAAGGGAAAATCACTAAATTGCTACTAAACCAGCCAATTCTTGTTCCTAACAAGTCATATTCAGATTGAATTTTCTCCAAACCAGTCCGATTTGCCACATATAAAACAAAATTTAAAAAGCATCGTGGAGATTTTAATGCTACCTACATGGCTTTTGAGAGTGTCACCTACTTTAAGGATTATTTAAAAGAGGTGGAGCACCTCAAGACACTTTGCACAACCGATGTGGGACTGTGTGTTTGGAGCCACAAAGTGAAGCTGAAATTTGTAGCTCTCATGTGATGCCCCATTTCTTCTTCTAATCGATGTGGGACTGAGGCCATATGACAAAGGCTACCATATGCTGACCAATTTTACAATTCAAGGATCCAGATGGCGGACCAACATGGAAGAAGGATTGAAGGTGGAGGATGGCAACCAGTGGTACGGCGGCATGGCGGACGGCGTGAGTGGAACAGTAAGTCAGTTCCAAATATACATTCTATTTTTGTGGATAACCTTCCAGAATCCATGGGGACCAGAGGGCTATACAACATTTTCTCTAATTATGGGATAGTCATGGACGTTTTCATCCCAAATAAGAGACGCAAGATGACAAGATCTCGCTTTGGGTTTGTAAGATATAACTGTTTTGTAGCAGCAGACATAGCAGTTCAAAAGGGACATGGGCTTTGGTGTGATGACAGAGCATTGAAAGTTAAGATGGCAGATTTTGGCAAGGAGTCTGGTCCACAATCCAGATTGAACAAAGCACCACAGACCAGAAAAGTCATAGCTGCTAATATCACACATACTGTTGGCCATCAAAGGAACAGATCTTTTGCTGAGGTTGTGAGTGGCAGAGGAGCTCAAACAAATGAAATCCGAACTATTAAGGCTTATGAGGAAGGTAATGGTTGGTTGTATGAAAGTGTGGTAGTAAGATTAAAAGCATCCTCATCAATGGATACTTTTAAGGAGGACATCGCTAGGAGAGGCTTTGGGGAAGTAACGGTCAGATGGGGGGGTGGAAGAGATGTGGTTCTCTCATTCAACTCAGTTGCAGATATGAAGGACAAACTTCAGAGAATGCAGGGCTGGCTCAATGATTGGTGTGATTCAGTCCAAGAATGGCGACAAGGGTTGGTTATTGAACAAGAAAGATATGTCTGGCTTAGTTGCTATGGTGTCCCGTTGAATTTATGGAGTTTTAAAACATTTAGTAGTATTGGGGAAACTTGGGGAGCAGTGCTCGCCATTGATGAGGATACACTTCGGCTTAATTCGTTGCATTGTGGCAAGGTGAAGATAGCCACGTCCAGTATGGAGTCTATAAACCATATCATAAACCTGGAGTGCAAAGGTACAATATACCCAGTGAGGGTTTGTGAGGAACAAATAATAGTTTCTAAATCAACGTCTGATCAGTGTACATCCCAACCCACTGAATGGAAGAACGCAGGAAAGAAAATTTCAGAGGCACTTGCAGATGACCAACTTACAGACATAAACAGTAGACATGAGGAAGAAGATGATGATGTGGACATCCAGCTGGGCAAGAAAGAAGACATAAGAGATGAGGTGGTTGGAGAGGGGAACAGTGTCTTACCTGCTAACTCAGATGAACTGGACGGGGATGTAAGATTGAGTGATGTCTCTGCTGTTGCTGAAACAGATATGATGAAGGATGGGTCTGAGGAAGGTGGCGCATGCGTAAGTCAACCAGCAGGGGTAGGGTTGAGCTATGAGCAATATGATGAATATGTATTATCACTCTCATCTCGAAATTTATGAAAGTATATCTTTTTAGAAAATTACTTGTTTGATTAGAGATATCTGTTTAGGGCTATTGGTGAAAAATAGCTATGATTGTTGTAGAAATTGCATGAAAATTAAATGAATTGAAACTAATTTCTCATCCATTTGCATTAAACATTGTTGCACACTTAACACAATGAAAATGTATATTATTTTGAGAAAAATGGGTGAATACCTTAGTGAATCTAGGTAGGGGGTGTAATTGTAGTATTATGTCAGCCTATGTGTTCTTGGTGAAAGTCTAGAAATCCGTACAGTTAAGTGTCGATCCTTCCAGTTTGTACCAATAAAATGGCTTTGGTAGTACTTGTATAGCTTACTGGCAAACACGTACCTAGAGTTTTTCAATGCTTGTAATTAGGGGTGCAACTTAGGCGGGCTCAACCCGAGCAACCCGAGCCCAGCCCGAATTTTTTTAGGACTTGGACAAAATATTTTCAAATTCGGTACGGGCTTGGGAAAAAATTCAGAAGCCCGAATTAAATTTGGACAAGCTTAGGCAAAGATGTCAAACAACCCGAGCAACCCGAAGTCTGAATTATACATATATAGATATATAAAAATATTGAATATAAATATAAATTATTAGTCATTACATGATGTTAAAGTAATTTATGTTATTAAATCATATTGAATATATATTATATATACAAATAACATAAAATCTTACTTTTTTTCCTTTTTATTTTCACTCATAAATTATAAGGACTACTATAGTAGCATCTCTCTTATATTATATAAATGATTTATTTTGATGGTATTAATGATTTTCTATAATAAAAAAATAATAAAAATTAAAAAATTAAAAAAAAACTGAAATTCATTTACAATTCGGACAATTCGAATTTAGCTCGGGTCGGGCTTGGACAGACAACCTCGGGTTACAATTCGGGCTTGGACAGACTTGGACAAGTCTCAGCACAACTTGGGCTTTGGCTGAACTTGGACAACCTCCCAACCCGCCCGAGTTGCACCCCTAATTTAACTATGTAAAGGGGAACTCACTAAATCGGAACAGCCAGGTACAATTGACTAACCCTAGTCGGCTAAAGGGAAAATCACTAAATTGCTACTAAACCAGCCAATTCCCGTTCCTAACAAGTCATTATCAGATTGAATTTTCTCCAAACCAGTCCGATTTGCCACATATAAAACAAAATTTAAAAAGCGTCGTGGAGACTTTAGTGCTATCAATATGGCTTTTGAGAGTTACACCTACTTTAAGGATTATTTAAAAGAGGTGGAGCACCTCAAGACACTTTGCACAACCGATGTGGGACTGTGTGTTTGGAGCCACCGAGTGAAGCTGAAATTTGTAGCTGTCATGTGATGCCCCATTTCTTCTTCTAATCGATGTGGGACTGAGGCCATATGACAAAGGCTACCATATGCTGACCAATTTATTCATTACTTGTCAAATGTATAATTTTTATTTGTTCAACATTAATTTTTTTTATTATTAATAAGCAAAGCATACTTTTAGATTTCAAAATTAATTCAACTATGACAAATTAAGATTAAAATAATCAACACAAGAAAATTATTGAGTTTCAAAGGAGTTGCTAATGATTTTAAAATTTTCACGATTGCATCGCCCGATTCTTGATACGTATTGCTTGATACTTTTGATACTGTTACACCACGACCAATACCGATTTGTTATCTATGACCAAGTCTAATGCTGCCAAAAACTAGCTTTTTGAATGTCTTCTTCTCCAAATGCCCTCCACATTGCAACCGAATTACATTTCTAACATGCCTTTCTTTATTTTGTGGTACCTTATTATGAAATTCACAAAATGAATTTGTCACGAAAATATATTTAAAACTTACCATCTTTGGTAAAAAATTGCAAACTTCTAAAATTATTTTTATGTTTAGGAAGTAGGTTTTGGGGTTCTTTTGACTAAAATAATTACAAAAAATAAAATAAGTTTTTTAATTTAATAAGATAAAATATCACATCCAACCCATAATCATTATTTTTTTTTTCTCACAAAAAAATCAAAAAATTCAAAAAAGCCAAAAATCGTTCTCAAATCAGGCTTTTTAGTCCTAGGTTAAAATAGTCAAAAAAATTAAAAAGTCAAAAAGTCAATTCACTTTTCAAACCAAACCTTAGTTTTCTTTTTCTTTCGGTCATGATTGCTTGTTGAAGTAGGCCAACTGGTTAGAGCATCTCCAACGGTAATAGGTATTTTACCTATCTAAATATTACTATAAAGTATAATTTTATTTTGCCTATTAATTATTTCATGTTTCTACTCCAACCATGCTTTTTATTTTAGCTATTCATCTAAATACTATTAATTTTATAAAGTGCCACATCAGCAACAAAGATGGAGGGAAATGATCCTAATGATTAAATATATTTTGCCTAGTCTTGAAGGCTAGCTACATGTAGCTAGTGAATGCGAATTGAGCTAAAATGCCTAATCATATACCTAGTGCATTGGAGTTGAAAAAAATGAGTTATACTAAATATTTTGACTAACAA